TGAGTGCTGACAGCTGACGAGGCACCCTCGGGCCTGGGTGCCGCCAGCCAGGACCGCACCTTCGCACTGGGCCTGCAGGAGCCCATTGCCTCGCACTCGGCTTCCTAACTCTTTCGCCAGTTTTGGAGTTATTTCCTATTATTTCTTTGCCATATATTTTCTGCTCAAGTAATTAATTGCCTTAAGAGGTTTTCCATAAGCTTTTGAAGATGATACTGTGTGGAATCCTATCTAGTGTCAATTAATAGTACATTTCAGTTATTACTGTGACAGTTACTGGACATAAAGTTGCCTCTTTTGTTTGTTTTTTCCTTTATTCCAATTTTGAGGAATTGAAGCTTTGTCTGTGAGAGACCGGACATCAGGCCGGTGGGGTCAAATCAGTGACAAGATTGCTTGGTGGAGAGTGTGGCACCTGGTGGTGCATCTGGCATCCCATCAGCACGGTGAGCTGGAGTGGGAGTCCTGGGCAGCTGATGGGGCTCTTTGGCCTGGATGCTGCTGCTCCATTTCCTGGAGGCAGGGTTTTCCATCTACTCCAGTAAAGCCGCTAGCACAGTAGCTAGAGGCGATTTGGCTCGGAAGCATGCTAGGGATGCTCTTATCACCATGGAGGTGAAGGACACGTGGAAAGGTGGTCACCTCCAGAAAAGCTTATGCTTAATGTGGTGATCTGGGCACAGACATCCAGCCCAGCTTGGCCTCTTCCAAGTCTCCGCCTCCCTCCCCACCTCCCCAGCCTCAGTTTCCTCCTGTGTACATTCAGAAGGCAGATGGGAGGCCAGACGTGGTCCCTGCGAGGTGCAGTGTGCGTTGCACAGGCCATGTCACCGAGTGAGAGCACGGTTTTGGGAAAGGATGGGAGGGACCCCACCCTTAGGACTTCTTAGGCAGAACACCTCTTGTTTGCATATACCTTTAGCTGCCTTGAGGAGCTCAGGTCCACACCCCTATTGGTCCTGTGAGGATCTTGGTAGGAATTCAGTCCTGTGTCTTACTTAGAGCAAGCAGGGGAGAGAAAGTTTGGAAAGCTTAGTTGAGAAACAAAGAGAGTAAGACCTCTTGCATTAAAAGCATTTGTCCCCTGAGGGACAGGCCTAGGTGCCCAGGGGAACGAGCACTGACCGTGAAACCCTCACCTGGATGGTGGACAGCAGCGGTTTCTCACCGGAAGCTCCCTAGTGGCCGGAAGCACAGTGCAGCCTGCGAGGCGGTGTGCGCAAAGCCTCTGCTGTGAGCTGCTTCTGAAAGCAGAGAGGGGCCGCCTGAGAAATCCAGAGCGAGGGGAATACTCACCAGCAAAGGGATTTTCTGGGGCCATGAACGGCCAACTCATTCTTTTGAAAGAAAAAAGTCTTGCTTTCCAAGGAATTTTGCTTGTTGGCAAACGTGTGGTGTTTTCATTCCGTTTGGAGGATGAGCTAGTACAGTGGTCGGCAAACCGCGGCTCACGAGCCACATGCGGCTCTTTGGCCCCTTGAGTGTGGCTCTTCCACAAAATACCACGTGCGGGTGCGCACGTATGGTGCGATTGAAACTTCGTGGCCCATGCACAGAAGTCGGTATTTTTTGGAAGAGCCACACTCAAGGGGCCAAAGAGCCGCATGTGGCTCTCGAGCCGCAGTTTGCTGAGCCGCAGTTTGCCGACCACGGAGCTAGTTGATTCCCTGGGAGACACGCCTATTGGAAGCACTGCGCCCTGCGAGACGTCTCGTCTGACCGGGAGAAACTCCTCGCTGCCCTATTGTGCTTTCCTTTTCCGCCGTGAGAGGAAGAGACCCCAGGCCTTGTGGACGTATTTTCCTGGACTTTTCTCTCTTTCTTCTTCTTATAGTTTGTTTATTTTTCAAATTGACCCGTAGAGAAAGTGACTCGTTAGCGTGGAAAGCACATCTGGAACCCATCGGCCGCCCCGTGCTCTCTCCTCCGCTCCCCCGTGGATGTGCCCCTTGGGAACGCAGGGAAGGGACCACCCCTGGCTGGACAGGCCTAACCTGGGTGACCGGCTGGGAACCACCTCCCAGAGGCATTTTGTTCCTTCTCTGTGGAAAGTGTTGGTACTGAAACGCCTGGAGGTGGCCGGGAAGATCCCAGCCTACGAGTTCGCAGTGAGACCCTGGGGAACCGCCTGTGAGTAGGTGAGGGGCTCAGGCCTGGGCAGCGTGCCTCCTCCAGGTGAGGAGGAGCCCGAGGGACCCAGGCTCCCCAGTGGGCGGCAGCCAGGCCTGCTCCAGGCCGCAGCACCATGGGAACGTAGATTCCTTGGAAGACCTCTGCCGACGAGCCGTGTCCCTATTACAACATGCCCAGCTTTCTAAGGATCTACGGGACCAGCCAGCACACAGTTCTCAGCGTTGGGCTTTGCGTGTTCAGGTGGAATTTAAGCAGCGATCAAACTTGTACATTGTCTCTGCCAGCCCCAGACACTAATTTTTAAAATAAGACAAAATGTGAAATGTGTAAATCTCGCCCTCTGGGGGCTCTCCTGCTCCACACACACACTCACTGCCGGACGCTGGCCGAGCCCAGGAAGCCTCTCCAGGGACCCCCGGCATCAGAGCCCACACTCAGTACCAACACCACATGCTCACGGATCAGTGGTACCGCGGCATACGGGCACGTGCTCACACAGGACGTGGGCATGCAGAACACAGAAAGACCACCCATGTCCACAGGCAACAAATAGTGCATCTGTCCGATCAGCATCCACCCCCATGACTGGCAGGAGCACCCCCCCCCCACCCACCCCCAACACAGCTGCTTCCTGCTGGGCTCCTTCATGTGAAGGTCAGCCACAGGCTGTACTAAGGGATGAGAAGCCCAGACAGTGGTCCCATTTGGGAGGGGTTTGGGGCCCCGAGAGGCCAGCCTCAGGGGCGCTGGGTTGGGACCCGTTTCTGGGGTGAGGTAGCTGGCCTCCCACAAGATGCTGTTGAGCAGGCACAGCAATGTTCAGGCGCATATAAAATCAGGCTGGCCCTTAGCCGGCACTCAACTCTCAGGCTGGGTCTATTCTCTAATGTTGATAATCCAAAGAAAATATGCTTTTAAATTCCAAAGACAACTGGATGTCTTCCAATTACACAAAATGTGGAGACTCACATTTAACCAAAAAGTGTTCTAGAAAAAATATGCTCCTCGCCCTGGCCTGTGGGCTCAGCTGGTTGTCCCAGGCACCGGGGGTTGCCAGTTCGATTCTTGGTCAGGGCACATGCGGTGTGGGCTCAATCCCCGGCCTGGGGCATGTAGGAGGCGGCCGATGGGTTTTAGGCTCTCACATCGATGTTTCTCTCTCCTTTCCCCTTCCTCTCTCTCTGAAAACCAGTCAACAGTTTCTCTTCCCTGCCCTGGTGCTGGGCCTTTCCCATGAACAAGGACCTCTATTGGTGGTGTCCTTGGCGGCACCTTCCTCCGTGCGGGCCACGTGAGCGCTCATTCAGGGGCGCCCTTGGGGCCGAGTTCTGGTCGTGGGGTCCAGCGATGGGGCGTGGGCCGCCGCATTCACCGCTCACAGATAACGAGAAGCCGTGAAGAGGGCGCACACATTGTTGGGCGCCCCTGAACCATGCCAGGTGCTGTGGGCGACGCTGTGAGCTTCAGGATGCCACTGAGGATCAGGCCAGGCCCTGCAGGCAGAGGGCTCGGAGCCTGCCAGCTGCTACCATTTCTACTTTTAAAAACACAGCTTGGGATTTGTTTTAAAAAGTGGTGCACAGCCTCAGAAAAAAGTCAGCACGGGCTGGGCTGATTCTAGAAAATGCCACACCAGGGAGCATTTGACTCAAGCTTGAAGGACTGACAAGATTTAAGCGAAAATGAGGGAGGGACAGGAAAGGAGGTGACACCAGGTGACTTGCCCTGTTAACTCTGGAAGAAGCAATAGAGGTCTGTTGTCCAATGGGGGCGGGGTTCCAGGGCTTGGGGCACCGGGCAGCCTTGCCTTCTGCCCAAGGCAGCAAGGCCCCTGGCCTGAGTGGGCCACGGCCAGGGAGGCAGCCTGGGCTGCTGAGCAACGGAGGAGACTCGCCCGGGCCCCCTGCAGGCCCCACTGCTAGTCCAGCCGCAGAGCTGCCCACGGTCCCCTTTTGAAGTTAGGAGAGGTTTCCAACACACTTGGCCTTCAAGCTGACCTCCAGGTCCTCCGTGGCCTTAGCTGTCATGGAGGGGCCAGGGAAGGGCCAGGGGCAGTTCCAGGCTGAGCGCAGGCAGCAGCTCCGGTGCCAGGACCTGCGGGGTTTCCAGAACAAGCAGCAGTGAGGCTCCTGGACACTGGGGAAACCCAGAAAGACACAGTGGGGCCCCTGTGCCCAGGCTCAGAGGACAAGGTCCCGCAGGCCAACGAAGGGCGGGAGGGAGGGCCTGAAGTATTGCAGGGCCCTGGGACCAGCACCTGAGGGCGGGAAAGCAGCTACCTGGAGGGTCCCGTGGGCAGGGCGCCCTGTTGAGGTCTCCTCTGCTTCCCCCTCACAGCAGCTGCCCACGCTGATCCCTGTGTCCTTCCAGGCGCCAAGGCCTGTCTGGGCCTGAGATGAGCTCAGTGGGTAGGTGAGGCCTTCAGAGCCCATCACACCCCAAAATGCAGAGCCCCAAGTCATTTGCCCTCAATCCAAATCTAAGGTTGTGAATTAAATGTTAAAAAGTACAAAAAAACTTCACCGAATACACACGGTGGGCTGTTTTAGATTAACGCCATCTGATCTTAATTACGCATTTTTTATTCAAATAACTTAAAGGTAAAGTCAGTGAGTCCACTGAAAGCCCTTTCTTCCTTGGTAGCTGGGTCCCCCTGGACATCCCAGGAGGCCACAGGCCGGGTGGGGAGTGTCCAGGTCGGTGGGGGAGGCATTAAAATCCGGGGCCACCCAGGGCCTGGCTCGTGGGCTCACCACCTTCACTGTCTCACTAGTCTCCCAAGTTGGTTGTGTCTTTGGGCTCTCGTGCACTGATTTGATTTAGTTTGGGCGGGGGGTGGGGGGGTGGGGTAGTTAGTTACAGCTGCTATTCAGGCCTTTGAATTTTAATTCAAACTCCAAGTCCACGTGCTTGGCCTTGCTTTCTCTTTCTCCCTTTAAGCTCAGTGGAAGTTGACTCCACTTTGACAGGTGTGTATTCCTCCCTCCCCAGCTCCACGCTCAGCTGCTCGCCAGCGAAGTGGCTTCGAGTTCTCACGCCGTCCTTCCCTAGGGGCAGCGTGATCTGAGGTCAGGGCTCTGGGCCCTGCAGACCTAAGGGCCATCAGGATGTGGCTTCTGTCCTGGGCCCTGCTGGGCTCCAGGGAAGGCAGTCGGGCAGTGTGGGCTGTCCTGTGATGTCACCCTAAGACTCACCAGAGAGCTCTCAGAAACCAGGTGGGCACCTTCCCTCGTCCATCCTATTTTTTTCGGCCTCAGACACTCCTCAGCTTCTCCTGCTAACTGAGAATAACGGTGTGCCCGCTCCCGTGCAGTGGGTGGGGATTAACCGATAGCATTTCCAGAGGGAAGTTCTCTTCGGGTCTGTGAATGACCAGGGCTTCTCCCTGAATGCCCTTCCTGGCAACCAGACACCAAGCATTCCCCAGCCCTCCTCCATCAGCGGGAACTTGGCCTGTGTTGAGAGGCCCTCTCTGAGCCCCTAGGCCCAGCTGTCCCAGTGCTTCAGCATTTGTGGTGCCTCCCTCCAGCTTTGCTGCCACCCTTGCACTGGGCCCCTCCTTTTTCTGTTTGCAGGAGCCCATTCCCAACACCCCAGCAGGCGGCTGGCCAGGATCGCTCCGGAAGCCTGCGCTGGTCTTTGCTAGAAATGGACGTTCCTGAGGCGCCCTCTGGTGGATCTGACGGTCTGTAAATTCCAAGTGATGTCCAGGGTCCTCACGCCGCGGCCCAGCCCCTCCCCGGGAAACGGGACTCTGTACGAACATTACAACTACGTGGGCAAGCTGGCCGGCCGGCTGACGGACGCCCCCGAGGGCAGCGCGCTCACCACCGTGCTGTTCCTGGTCATCTGCAGCTTCATCGTCCTGGAGAACCTGATGGTTCTGATTGCCATCTGGAAAAACAAGAAACTTCACAACCGCATGTACTTCTTCATCAGCAACCTGGCTCTCTGCGACCTGCTGGCTGGCATCGCCTACAAGGTCAACATCCTGATGTCAGGCAAGAGGACGCTGAGCCTGTCTCCCACGGTCTGGTTCCTGCGAGAAGGCAGCATGTTCGTGGCCCTCGGGGCTTCCACCTGCAGCTTACTGGCCATCGCCATCGAGCGGCACCTGACCATGATCAAAATGAGGCCGTACAATGCCAACAAGAAGCACCGAGTCTTCCTTCTCATCGGGATGTGCTGGCTCATCGCGCTCTCGCTGGGAGCCCTGCCCATCCTGGGCTGGAACTGCCTGCAAAACCTCCCCGACTGCTCCACCATCCTGCCCCTCTATTCCAAGAAGTACATCGCGTTCTGCATTAGCATCTTCACCGCCATCCTGGTGGCCATCGTGATCCTGTACGCGCGCATCTACTGCCTGGTGAAGTCCAGCAGCCGCAGGGTGGCCAACCCCCAGCACTCGGAGCGGTCCATGGCCCTGCTCCGCACCGTGGTGATCGTGGTGAGCGTGTTCATCGCCTGTTGGTCCCCACTCTTCATCCTCTTCCTCGTCGACGTGGCCTGCAAAGTGAAGGAGTGTGCCGTCCTGTTCAAGGACAAGTGGTTCATTGTGCTGGCAGTGCTCAACTCCGCCATGAACCCCGTCATCTACACGCTGGCCAGCAAGGAGATGCGGCGGGCCTTTTTCCGGCTGGTCTGCAACTGCCTGGTCAGGGCCCAGGGCACCCGCTCCTTGCCCATCCAGCTCACTCTCGACCCGAGCAAGAGCAAGTCCAGTGGCAGCAACAGCAGCCCCTCCCCGAAGAGCAAGGAAGACATTACCCAAACGGCCCCCTCACCCTGCATAACTGACAGAAACAAAACCCTGCAGAATGGGCTCCTCTGCAAGTGAGGGCGGGGCTCCCGGGGCAGGTCCTCGCATCTCCACGGGAGGAGCAGCACCCAGCCCTGCCGCACCTGCTTATTTTTTTTAAATATATTTTTATTGATTTCAGAGAGGAAAGGGGAGGGAGCAAGACAGAAACATCAATGATGAGAAAGAATCATTGATCAGCTGCCTTCTGCACAACCCCCAATGGGGATCGAGCCTGCAACCCAGGCATGTGCCCTGACCGGGAATGGACCGTTACCTCCTGGGTCATAGGTTGACACAACCACTTATAAGTATCAGCCTCGCCAGGGCTTTACCGAAGCTGAGACTCGGGAAATCTGTTTTGCCAACAGCCTGCTGGGTGAGGCTGTCTCTTCAGGCTGGGACTCAAGGGCTCGCCAACCCATTTCAGTGTAGACAGTGCTCTTTGTCCGTTTCCGGTCAAAAGCCTTCCAAGGGTACCAAGCTGCACGGGGCTTCACGGGGCCCCTGTGGCATGTGCAGAAGCTGCCGCACTCAGTGCAGTTCACAGGTAACACGGACATGTTCTGACCGTGCTGTTAGGACATGACTGGGAACAGGTGACACCAGTCCCAGCCTCAGACAGACGTGAAGTCTGGAGTTGAGCAGGTGTTGATGCCAAAATTCTCAGAAAGCCCTGCCCAAGGCTGTCCCAGAGCGTGGATCTGACCTCACACAGTCCTGACACGTGCCCAGGAGCAGGTCAGTGTTTGAAGGATCCTGGCAAGAACAGCCGAGTTCCCCCAGGACCTGCCTCACCCTGCACAGTGTTAAGGACATCCGGAGCCAAATTAGCCAAATTACATGATTATTCATGGGTTTCCCCAAATCACAAAAAAGTCAACCATGGTCCTTCAGGAGCCTGAGCCCCAGACCAACTAAGAAAGGCACCTATTCGGAGAAGCCAGGACAGACCCCGGGGCCGCCTCATCGAGTTGCCGGCAGCAGCCACCTGCTGAATGGAACATTTCTACTGAATTCGGACAGGTTACGAGGCATCGCTTTGATCCTGTGTTAAGTTTGGTTCTGTATCCGGAAAGCACCACGTCAGAACCCCGTGTTGTCACAGCTGAGGAGCTGGGCCAGCTGCGTGTCACCACTTCCGGAAGCTGCCCTGACAGTCACTGTTCCAGCAGCTGCATTGTCAGGGGGCAGACGTGAGCTGGGGGCTGCGCCCTCCTCCAGGAAGTGTACCATCACGATCTTCCTCCGGCGCAGGCCGGCTGTGTCACTGTCTGCCTTACGGGGGGTGCGCCAGGCGCGCTCGTGCGGCTCGTCCCCAGGGATTCTCCGTGAGCACAGACCAGAGCCACGTCTGTAGAGCTCTCATACGCACACGGTTGACGTGCTGAGTTCTTGAAAAATCAAAGCAAACAACCTTCAAAAGGGTTCTTACTTGGGGAACCTTCATGAAGTTTTAGTTTCGGTGCGAATGTTACCTGAGTAAAGACGGAAGGAGTAGTATTAACACATTAACTTCTCTGCAGAGAAATTGACTCCTGTTTTTCTGACACGAGTTCCTGTCATTAAGGGACATTTCTGTGGTCCTGGCGCATCTCTATGGGGTGACCTCATGTTATTACTGACGACATACATCCTGTTCGTAAGGAGAGGTTCGTCAGTGGCATTTTTTGTTACCTTTTTACATCACTGAAAAAGGACTTATTCCTTTACCCTGTAACATGAGAAAACCCAGGGCATTTCTTGCAAAGTTAAGCATTAAGGTACGGGGTTCAGAAAAAACACACCAGACAGCCAAAATGGTGGGCATTCCCTTTCGCTGAGGTCACGGCGTGCCTGTCATGGTTCGAGTTGGTTTGGGGCCCAGGTCTCGGGTGCTAATAATAGTAACACTTTGCACCATAGCCACAACTTCCGTTTGAAATAACACAAGACGTTCAAACAATCTGAATGAAAAGTACTCACAAGAGTAATTGTGTTCATTTGATATGTGCAAAAAATAATCAACTGTAACATGCCGTGTGCACTCCTAACAAGCCAGCCCAGAGGTCTGAGTGCTCAGCCACAGACAGCCTGCCCAGAGGTCTCGTTCAGTTAGTAACCTGCGTTACGTCCCATGTATGTGTGTTAAACAATAAAACCAAAAGCCTTTGTGTAAACCGCTGTTGGGAGTCCATGTGGGGGTGCACGCCGGGGCGACGCCTGGAGGAATGCAGCTTGGCCTCTCAGCTGGTCCCAGTGTTTCTTCAGGAATGAAACCACGCAGAACCCCGATAACCTTCCCACCTATACTTCCCTCTGGTGCTTCTTGGGCTCCATGAAGCCGGGTGCAGCGGGCTGTCCCCGTGTTGCTAGGCCAGGCTGTTGGAAGGTCAGTAGACTGCCCTTTGACAGAGAAGGCGGTGAGAGCGTGGCAGTGAAGGTGGGGCCAAGAGACGGGATGTTTGGTTCTGTCCATTTGCAAAAGGAGAGAAGAGGTCAGAACTGGCCCTTTCCCACCTTTCTCCTTTACAAGCGGTAAGTTCGTGTGTGTGTGTGTGTGTGTGTGTGTGTTATGTTCTACAGAGAACGAGGCCAGCATTCGGCATGACTAGGATGGCGGCCACAGGCATGAAGAAATCCCCAACACAGCCAAGCACCCACCTTCTGCCGCCTTTGCTTCTGCGCAGGCCAGTGAGTTGACACAGGCCCCTCAGAACGCGTCTGCCCGGCTGCCGTGCTCACCCACACCCTTGGCCATGGCCAGGCGTGGCTGTGCTCGTGCTGTAGAGACTGGAGAGTGACCGAGAGAACCTGCTTCCGGTGGAAGGGTTTCAAACTCCCTTCCCCTCTGTTGAGGCAACACAAGATCCACCATCCAAATGCGAGACTTTTCATGATGTTCTTTATTGCCCACGGAGTTACAACGACAGTCATTTAAACAACGGATGAAATAGAAAACAAGGTGCATTTTATAGAAAACTACGTTATCAAGTCCATGCTTTTAAATGGTCTCTCGGAGGGCAAAACCTCAACCCAGTGTTTGAGTGCTAAGTCAGATATCAAAGGGCTTGCCCAGAGTCAGAAATGCACTATTCTGAAAATGAAGGCACATTTTCTGATAACCAGTGGGAAGTGCAGCATTGCCTACGTGGGTGACACCCTCCCTCCTGGGCCAGTGGTGACCCTTGGGGACCAAGCAGCCCCTGCACTGGCCACCCCAGAGGCACAGGGACGTGCCAGGTGCGCGTCAGGGGCTTGCAGCTGGGGCCACGGCATCTCCTGAAGGAGGAATGTGGGTGGAGGGTGAGGAGGGCATTGAAGCCAATTTCCTTCCCTGTCGCATTGCCAGAGCTCCCAGCTGTCGGCCAAATGACTGTGGCGTTACCCCTGTCGTGGAGCGGAGAGGAGAGAACTTGCATCAGGCTTGTATTCCCCTCTGCGGGCCACGGCAGGAAGTGGTGAGTGGGCAATAAACCCAGACACAGAATTTCACAGGAAAGCTTTTCTGTTTCACAAAAGTTAATGGAAAACCAAACACAACATTTTAAAATAATATTTATCAATATGTATAATTTGTCATCCAAATGCTTTTTAAAAAAGGAAATCTTGTTGTTACACATTAAATTTATGTAGAGTTCTTGCCTAATCCTTGGCTTTAAAGATGAACTGTTTAATTCTTGCTTAAATCTGAATACAAAGAACATTCACATAATTTACAATATTTATTCTAGAACAAGTCATAGTCAAAGGAACAGAGAACATTCCATGTGCAATCAACACATAGTTGTCACAGGCAATTCTGTTTTAAGGATGGGTTTTCCCATTATTTTTGGCTTTGTGAATTGTCACTTAACCACCAAACCTCAGGACCACAGTGGGCCCTCCCACGTGCACACTTTTCTACCTACAGCATCTCGAGGTGACTCAGCCAAACGGGAACTTTGAGATTTCAATTCCCACGTGAGGGAGCCCTGTGTTTAGGGGCCTCAGGGACTCACTTATTTGGGGCCCTGTGAACGCGGGAAGGAAGAGAGAAGTGAGGAAGCTGCCTCACCTGCACCCCGCACCCCTGCCAGCAGCTCGTGCCTGCAAGGGTCCCGCCTCCTCCTGGGCCTTCCTGTCTCCTCTGCCTGCATGTCTCCTGCCCTTCAGTTGCCAAAGCCTTCAGACCCACCCAGGAGCTCCGGCCGCCACAGTCCTCTTGCCCTTGGCCACAGCCCCATCCAGCTTATCTCACCCACACCCTGTGGTCCTCCTGGGTTTCCTCACAGGCAGGCAGCTCTCCTATCCCGCACATCTCTATCCCGGGAGCCCAGACAGCGCCTGCCGCGTGGGAACTAGTGTACGGACCAGAGCACGAGAAGGCTGGTTAGACACTGAGAAGTGCCAGGGACGCAGCGGCTGAGGGAGGGCACCGCGCCTCGCCCCCCATGGCAGCTGATGGGGGCCTCTGCCACGCTTGGCCTCTCGCAGACACTGCGCACTGATGACCACAGGACGGGCGCCCCTTCTCTCCTTAGGCTCCTCCATCCCCCCATCTGCCCCGGCTGGCCTGCCCGCCCTCGTGTCCCTCTGCCGTTCCCCACCGTGGACCCTGAGGCCCTCCTGTCTGTGTCTGCAGCATCCAGGACCCTCCTCCAGATGTCTGATCCAGGACGCGTCCGTCCCCGGACTCTCAACATTTGTTTCACCGTTTGTCTAGTTGTCCTCATTAGTCAAATATCAACACCCAGGGAGGAGTCCAAGGTGTAATTTGTACAGTCAGCCTCGTGGGCACACGGACAGACGCACAGGCATCATAACAGTGCGGGCGCCTGTGTGTGCAGACACATCGCAACTGGCATTCCAAAGTTCTCGTATGACATTCAGTTTTTCTGGCTGCTATAAAATGTGCCAGTTTTAAACCCGTGCGTTCTGTCGCTTGCAAACGTATAGACCCCATTCGAGTAAATGGTGGCTGGTCGCTGGCATTTTATCTTCCAGCAATGGTTGCATGGAGTTCTAAGTTATTAACCTCACCCCGGGACCCGGGACATGAAGGAGCATGAAAACACAGGGTGGGCAAAAGTAGGTTTACTGTTGTGAGTACGCAAAACAGTTTATTCTTGTATCATTATTTATTGATTATTGTATTAATTTCCATAGGAACAACTGTAAGCCTGCCTTTGCCCCACCCTGTGCAATCACAGAGGAGGGCAGCGGGCAGTAAGGGGCATCTGAGGGCTGGCAACACACACCTGAGGGTGGTTCTCAGAGTCTACACTGCCGGCCAGCTCACTCGCGGTTTATGAGAAATGCAAGTTCTCAGGCCCGTCGAGACCTACTGAGCCAGGATCTAGGGAGGGCCCGCGGCTCTGATTCTGGAATCCCTCCTCACGCCTGCTGAGCATGAAGGCCTGTCCCTGCCAGAGGACTCCGTGGTGCACAGGCTGCCCTGTGGCTCAGCTCTGAGGTGTGTCCAGTCCCCCGTGTGGTTAGTTATCTGCCTCCTGGGATCTGCCTGATCCTGTGTGTTCTTGTCAGCTTCCTTCCCTCCCCCACCGCTGGGTCACCCCCGGAGAAACCACAGACACCCAGTTCCTCTCTGAGGGTCTGCTTCGAAAGGCACCCCAGTGACACGGAGGCAGGGCAGCATGTCCGTGTCAATGACTCGAGCTTGCCGTTATGCATTTTGGAAAAAAGCTGGATAAATGTGAGCCCGAGGAGGGAGGAACTACATCCTCTTCCATTGGGGCGAGCTTCCCTCTCCAGCCCTGAAGGACCCTAGCGGGTCCTGTGCTCTGTCCTAGATTCAGCCCGTGGCCGCCTCCCGCAGTCTCCTGGCTCCAGTCGGTGACTGAAAAATGGTTCCTCCAGCCGCACCCCCGGGAGCACCCCTGCTCATGGGGGAGCAGGACAGCTCCGCAGTTTTCCCGCTGCTCTTTCTGGGGACCAATTTTGTAAGTTTCACTACAGAACCAGAGTATCATTCTGAAACCCAAGGCCAAGATCCGTCTGTGTCCCGCAGCGCCCTACCTGCCATCTCTCCCAGCTCTCACTCCCACCACGGCCAGCACTCCCGGAGGCGGAGGCGTGTGAGAGGAGCGATGCACACTCTGTGCGGAGCATCTGAGGAAACGGCTGTCCTGCCCGCTACACGGAGTCCCCACCCCCACAGGCCCCGGGGACCGCACAGCCTAAGGTGCAGGCGGCCAGGGCTCAGAAGCGCAGGGACCAGCACAAGGCCGTGGGGCTCTGCGTGTGCACAGCCCAGGCTGGACGGGGGGCCTCTTTGCTGGGACTGCGGTGGGGGAAACCTGGCTGGCCCGCGGGTGGTGGCTGATGAGGGGCGCTGGGCAGGGCCACTCGCTTTAACGCAGTCCGGTATGAGGGAGCCATCGAGCACTGACCCCACCTGCAGGGAAAGCTTCATATTAGGAGTGGGGGCGGGGGGGTAGATAGGGGGGTGGGCAGTGGGTCCTTAGGACCCCGGACAGGCATGGGGTCAGGAAACGTGTCAACAGTGTCCTGAGCTGGGCCACAGCGTGCTGCTCCGTCACTCCTCCCAGCCTGCCTCCGCCACAGGCCTTGGCCGAACCTGGCTTGTCGCTTTGTCCCAGTGGGCATGGTGGGTGGCCACCTTTGCCACAGGAAGCTCTCAGGACACCACATGCGTCCTGTTGGGTCTCTGCCCCTTGACCCCATCACCGAGTCAGCCTGGAACAGAATTGTGCGGAAATGAGACACGGCTGGAGGCTGGGTGCGAACCAGTCCTTTGGCCGCTCAGACAATAATTTCTAAAAAGGCAGACGTGGTGGCTTTAGGCCCAGGACGTGCACTGGCAGTTGTCTCAGTGCCTGTTTATCAGACTGTCCACGGAGCCCCGGGGTCTCCCTGGGAGTCGAGCATCAAAGCTGACAAGCAGGGGTTCTCGGAGGCTGCCGGCCCCAGCAGGACAGGATGCCATCTGAAGCCCGTGAGTTCCTACCCTAGGGTGGTGCAGGCAGGAGGGGTGGGCTCCGGGGCCACTCCGCACCTGGGCACTGCAGGACCGCCCCGCCTGCCCAGTGCCCCCCGCACACGCGGAGGCTGAGCCCAGCGGCCAGGGGCCCAGGAGAGGGCAGCGGGCCTGGAGTGTTCCCTGGGCCCGAGTGGCTCTGTGTGGCCACAGCATGTGTGTCCCAGGCGGCAGGGGCCC